CTGCGAAATTGTCGTCACTTTCGAGGGCTGCTGGTGGGTCCAGCGGAGTGAGGCACCACGCAGATTCAGATTAGACCTCGCCGTCCCTGGGGGGCTGCGATCTGCGAAACTGTCGTCACTTTCGAGGGCTGCTGGTGGGTCCAGCGGAGTGAGGCACCACGCAGATTCAGATTAGACCTCGCCATCCCTGGGGGGCTGCGATCTGCGACACTGACGCCACATTCGAGGGCTGCTGGTGGGTCCAGCGGAGTGAGGCACCACGCAGATTCAGATTAGACCTCGCCATCCTTGGGGGGCTGCGATCTGCGAAACTGTCGCCACATTCGAGGGCTGAGGGTGGGTCCAGCGGAGTGAGGCACCACGCAGATTCAGATTAGACCTCGCCATCCCTGGGGGGCTGCGATCTGCGACACTGACGCCACATTCGAGGGCTGCTGGTTGCGAAACTGTCGCCACATTCGAGGGCTGCTGGTGGGTCCAGCGGGGTGAGGCACCACGCAGATTCAGATTAGACCTCGCCATCCCTGGGGGGCTGCGATCTGCGAAACTGTCGCCACATTCGAGGGTTGCTGGTGGGTCCAGCGGAGTGAGGCACCACGCAGATTCAGATTAAACCTCGCCATCCCTGGGGGTCTGCGATCTGCGAAACGGTCACCACTTTCGAGGGCTGCTGGTGGGTCCACCGGAGTGAGGCACCACGCAGATTCAGATTAGACCTCACCATCCCTGGGGGGGGCTGCGATCTGCGAAACTGTCGCCACATTCGAGGGTTGCTGGTGGGTCCCGCGGAGTGAGGCACCACCCAGATTCAGATTAGACCTCGCCGTCCCTGGGGGGCTGCCATTCTGGGAAACTGTCACCACTGACGCGGGTCGTTTCAGAGGTGAGGTTGCCCCTCGGGCTCTCTTGTCATTCAGTTCTTTTGACCACGAGCATGATGAATGATCACTGTGGCGATTTGGCTTGGAAGTGAGGTTGCCCATCATGCCCGCTAATCATTCCCGATTCTTACACCATCGCCAGGTTGTGAAATTAATTTCTTGGGTCGCCATTTTGAAGCGCGCGAGTATCGCAAAGCGGAAGACGAGGAAGGGGAAATGCTGCTCGCTCCGCGTTCAACCAGTACGTCGCCAGTGCAACTTTGGACGATGGACAACCGATTGATGATACGCGACCCCGGCCTTGAGTTTCTTTCCCGCGGGCCGCCCGCAGACCTGGCGGCGCGCCTGCGAGCGTCCAGCTCCCGCGCTGAAATGTGCGGGAAGGAGGCGGAGAAGCTAGCGGGCGAGCTACGCCTCGCTCGTTCCTTGCACTCTAAACAAGTTTTATCTTGTGGAACTCTGCGACGACATGGCGCAAGCAGCGCTGCGGGTTTAGCTCGCACTTGAAAACGCGGCAGTCTTCTGTCTCCTCCCGCCACTTTCATCGTCGTCCTATTCCCCGCCTCACCTTCTCCATGCATGCTGCTGCTTCCGCGATGGCCTTTCGCCCCCCCAGTGGCCCAAAGTGCTAAGTAAAGCCGAGAAGGCTAGACGGTCTGATCCCAGGCGCGATCTCCCTTCCTCGGTCTAGGCTCCATTTTCCTCACTTAGTGAACAGACATTCTCATTCTCATTCTCCATTCCATCCCTCTCCTACCCCTCGTTCCCGTACCCGTTCTTCTTCGATCCTGGGGCCTCAAGCCTCGTTCTTTCGATCGTCGTCCTGTGAATCGTGCAGCGCATGCGCATCCCATGTAGCTTGCACAGCAAATCGCCGCGTCTACACTGTCGTTGTTCCTGCTAATGTTGGCGTACTCCTCTTGCCATTTGATGCACGTGGGTTGGGTACGTCGCAGGGTAATTTTGGTTTTTTCTTGACTACCTTGGGGTATTTTTGGAGTATGTACGCTTGATTTTCCGCCCGAATCCGCCTGTAGGGGGACATGCCCGACCGAAGGCTGGCATGCAGACCGCGCCACCACCCCCTCCGGCGGGGGGGGATGGCGGGAGAGACCGCGAGGAGGCGGTGGGTCGCGCCTCTCTCGGCCCCCGGGGGGCGAGATGATGGGCTTGTTTCCCACCGCCACCGCCCTCAAATGGAGGGGGGAGGGGGTCCTCCTCCTCCTCCTCCTCCTCCTCCTCCTCCTCCTCCTCCTCCTCCTCCTCCTCCTCCTCCTCCTCCACCTCGTCCTGCTCCTCGTCCTCCACCTCCTTCTCCCCCCATCCAACTCATGGTGGTGGTGGTGGAAAACAGGCCCATCACGAAAGCTCGTGGACTGGCGACGGGTCCCGTTTCCATGCGCCGTCGCGAGATGGGGCGGCGCTGGCCTCACGCGTCGGAGGTGCATGGCCCAATCCCTGAGTCTAGCGCCCAAGCACCGGATCCACGGATCGGATCACTCATCCATGTCAGCGTGCGGCTGAAGCTGGCGCTGCTGTCAAAAAACGCTCAGCACGAGCTCTGTCACGAGCGGCATAACGTCAGAGCAGTAGACCGAAACCTCCAGTATGCATCGGGGGTGGACAAAACCCCCACCCTGACACGTCGATTAGTGAATTGCCCGTTTCCGTTTGTTCGAGAGGGCGCCGCGGCCGTCCTTCTCCAGGCTTGCGCCCGCCAGGTTTGGGCCCGAGGTCGTTTTCACTAAACCACGTTTTACTAAAGGGGTTTCTGCCCATACCCGAATGAAGGCCCCCCAGCCCAGGATGTCCCGAGTTCGCCGCAAGGGATCGCAGCGGGAACCCGCCACCGCGCTTGGCAGCGGTGGTTGGTGCGATCGAGCCTGTGAGCACGGCAGCGATCCGACGGCTCCCAGCGGTCTGTGCTTCTCGGCGGCGGAGAGGGGGAAAGGGGACGAAAAGGCCCCCCCCTCTGGACCGCCGGCGTCGAGAGGATGAAAAGGTACCCACGCTGCTACTGTTGAGTCGGGCCTGTCCCTCTACAGGAGGAATATTCAAAAATAATAAAAAGTTGTCAGGGGGACCAAATTGATCAGTCTTGCGTATTTTTGAGCATGTTTAGGGTATTTTTTTTTCGTCCCAAACACCCCCTGTAGGAGGATACGCCCGACCTTATGCTACTGGTACCCTTCCTTGTTTTCTCCCTTGTGGGCCTCCTGGGAGGCCCTGCCACCGCTGGATTCGCTTCCAAATTCTGGCCAGGACGCACCCCGGGAGAGGTCCGGGGAGAAGCGGTGTCAGTGCCTTTTGATTCCCCCCCCCCCCCGACCCCCGGACCGCCGACATGACTTGCTCTTCCCCTGGCGTCCGTCTTTGATGGTGTTGGGCCCGAGAGCGGGCCCGGGAGGCTAAACTCGAGGAAGCATGCCGGGGTTGAAACCCAGGCCGTCGGAGGTCGGGGAACGGGGCGTCCCATGCCTCGATTGCTTAACCAAGTTCTGTATGGCCGTTTTTTTCGCGATAGCCTGCAGGTTTTTGCTGCGGAGCCGTGGCCACAGCAGTCCGTGCTAGAATGGAATGAAGCTCTGGCGGAGAGCGGGGCGATCCGGCAGTCAGGGTGTCTCAGGCAACAATCATCTGGGGAAACAACTTCTTCGACTCCCTCGTGCTCTTCGCCCTCACGTTGTTGCTCATCCAATAGGGGGGGGGAACGGCGCGACGAGAGCGCGAAAAACGGTGGCCCGTGGCCGCCTCCCCGCCTCCGCCCTCGACGCCGGCCTTCCGCCGCCGCCGTGTCCGCCGCCGCCGCCGACGCCCCCCTCGTCGTCCACGGCGCTGGTGGCGTCGGCCGGCGGCGTCGGCGTCGATGTCGCCGCCGCCGCCGACGTCGCCGGCGGTGCCCTGCGGCCGCCGCGCCCCCACCGCGCCGCGCAGGCCGCCGTCGCCGGGGCCCCTCCTGGGGCTCGCCGCGCTCGCGGCGCTGCTGGCGTCCGGGGCGGCGCTGCGGGCGCGCGGGCGGCCCTCGCGCGGCGGGCGGGCGTCGCAGGCGGGCCGCGGCGGGGCGCGCGGGGTGCATCTCCGAGGCATCTCCTGGGAAGCCCGCTGCTCACGGTCAAGGCGCTGAAACCCGAGCATTTTCTCTGGGTGGAGGGCAAAGGCTTGGTATCGCTCGGACGTGTGCACTTTTTCTCGGCGGGGATTGTCAAGGGATCATCCTGCGAGAAAGCCACGCACGAAACCGAACAAAAACATAGGGAATGGACGTCCGGGCGACGGGGAGAAAGGCGAACTCTGAAATGCCGTTTCGATGGACGTTCGAGGCTTGAATCTGCAAAGGGTGAATCACAAGACGGATTGGTTTTCGAGGTTCAAAAGCCCATGTGGATTTCACCCTGAGCCACCCTAAGAGAATGTTCAGGGAATGAGGACCGCTTCGGGCTCAGGAGTGGCCGGGGTTGTCGGGCCATTCTGCGGATTTCTTCCTGTCGCAGGACCTGCCTGTGGCCTGGGCCTATAGGCCCGCCGTGGCCAGAAAAGCCCCTTCGTTCCTCATTGTGCGTTGGCGGGGCCAAACTTATTTCACTATCGCGGGGGAAGTATACATCGTGTATCGAATATTGTTTTCATGGTTATCATGGTCATCGTCGTCGTCGTCATCATCAGCATCATACAGCGACTTGTCGGCATTAGTGGCAACACCGCGGCCGTATTCCCTTGCTCAAGTTCTAAAGGAACGCAAGCATTCATTCTTTGAGCGGGTCAACGCCGACCTCACAGTGCCCTTTCCGCTGCCATCACCGTGCGCGGCAGTTCGACGCCCTTCTACGATTGCGTTTGCTCTCCTGCGCTGGCCTGCCCAGCGGTGGAGTGCCGCTGCTCGACTGGCAAGGCTCGCTGGCTTCTGCCCAGCCGACAGGCTGGTCAATCGAGTTCGTGGTCGTGCTCGTGGTGGGTGGTTGCGTACGGCAGCGTCGTTAGCGGCTACTGCTTCCAGAGCTCGCTGACGGCCCCCGTGGTGCAGCCTGCACCCGCTCCAGCATCGCTTCATGAGGCCGCGGACACTCTCGACCTCGCGAGTGCGGCGACTACCCAGGCGAGGAAGTTCCGCCTTTAGGTGGAATGGCTTCTCGCGCCGCTGGACAGTTCCACTACTTTCGGTACAACGTCGGGGCGCCCGCTTTCCTCCACGAGAGACTCACTCTGCTGCCTGGGTACATCCTTACCCCTGACGATGAGGTATATGCTGAGAGCGATTCGGCAGGTGGTGACTCGAGAGCTGTGCATGACTCGGCGGGCCAAGGCGACGCGATCGTCGGCGTCGCCGCCAACGAGCTCTACAAGTTCTGGCGGCAGCCGTCTGCAGCCGTCGCCTGGGCTGCTGCGCGGAGCTGCGTCGCCCAGGGCCATGGGCCTCTGGCGCCTTCGCCCTTCATCCTCGAGCTCAGCGCCGACAACGTGCTGGGCGTGGCGAAGGGGGTCCTGGCCGTGTTCGACCCGCTCGGAGCGGCCCCCGCCGCCGCAGCGCCTGGCGCCCTGGCCTTGGCTGGCGCGGCCGCGCCCCCCGCGGGCGCCCCTGGGCCGCCTGCCGCGTCTGCCGCTACGCCTGTGGGCGAGCTGGGCGCGCTGGCCGCGGCGCTCGGTGCGGGGGGGGCCGCCCTGCCTGCCGCCGCTGGCCCTCCGGGCGTCGGCGCCGCCGCCGCGGCCCCCGCGGCCCCGGGCGCCGCAGGGTCTGATCCCCGCGTGCTGGCCACCGTCCTCGACGCGCGGGGGGTGCGGGACATGCCTGTCAGGGGCGCTGTCAAGCGCCAGACCGAGACCCCGCGCGCCGACTGGCCCGCGAAGGGCCTGACGACCACGATGCGGGTGCTCCACTTCATGCTCCGCATGGCGGGCGGGGCGACGGCGTGGCTCAACCGCTGGATGGCCATAAAGCAGGCCTCAGAGACGGACGACGCCGACAGGCTGTGCGAGACGCTGCGCCGTGTCGTCGAGACCTCGCGCTGCCGCGACCAGCTGATCATCTGCGAGCTGTCTTCCTACGAGGTCGTATCGCGGCAGCTGCTGACGGTGGAGGGGCGCTTCTTTGAGGAGCGCGCGCGCAGGACTCACCCTGCGCCCAGGGCCAAGGGCCAGGCCAAGGACGGCGCCGCGGCCGCGGCCGCCGACGTTTCCTCCGAGATTGGCCACTTCCTCGGCACTGGAGACACGATGGGCAATTCGTGCATTTTCCCACCCGTAATGGATTGGATCGCCGAGCAGATGAAGAGTGAGGCTGCCGTTGCGAAGGAACGCCGCAAGGCTCGCGAGGAGCGGGCCTTGCGGCAGCCATGACGTTCCCGAAGGGCGCTGGTCAGGAGGGGCCTCACGACGCGCCACCTGCCCGTAAGCCTGGCCAGCTCAGCCCCGAGCCCGTCGAGGCTCCACCTGGCTTGGAGTTGCCCGCGCGAGGTGACCATCGCCAGCGTGACGTTTTTCCGCTTCCTCTTCTTCCAGTGGATGGGCGTCGCCATCTTCCGCTTGGTCGTGGGGCTCGTCTGCGCGCCGCCAAAGGCGCGGGCTGGAGAGAGTGGTGCAACGAGGGATTGTCTGCTCTCAACTGGCTCCACTGCGGCAAGGGCGAGCCTTCCATGCCTGACGAAGGGGGGCCACCGCCCGCGGCCCAGGCAGCCTCCGTGGACTACGTCGCGGGCTTGCACCGCGACTTCGAGCTGCCCGCCGCCTACTCGGAGAGAGGCCGCGATTGCGAAGCATCCCCCGTAGAGATGCTCGCGCAGGCACCTTGCTACGCTGGTGACAGCGGCCGAGTGCGCCCCCACAGCATGCCGCTTGTGGCCTGGCCCGAGTCGACGAAGGCAGTCTCCACCTGCGGCGTCGTCTCCGAGGCCGACTCCATCGTGCTGCAGGATTGGAGGCAGAGTGTGCTGAATCCCGAGTCGGTGGCGGCGGAGCTGCGCGATTCGCTGGGGGTTATCCGCCCCTATGTGGATCCTGAGCTGCGTTTTAAGCCGAAGTCCTACGCTGAGTTTTTGAAGCAGCTGGAGGCCCACGGCGTGATCACCTGGCGGGTCTCCAGCGAACCGGCATCCTTCTCTACTGGTCTCTTCCTCGCGCAGAAATCAAACGGCAAGCTGAGGTTGGCGTTCGACACCAGGCTGGCCAACTGCAGTTTCTCGTGCCCACCAGCCACTCGTCTGCCCACGCCCAGCGCGCGGGCCAGTCTTGACTGCGACGACAGTTTTCATTTCGCGCAGGGCGACATTCAGTTTTTTTTTTTTTTTTTTTTTTTTTTTTTTTTTTTTTTTTTTTTTTTTTTTTTTTTTTTTTTTTTTTTTTTTTTTTTTTTTTTTTTTTTTTTTCCAGCCTCTTGTCACGGTCGTTCCCATGGGGTGGAGTTGGGCCCTTCACCTGTGCCAGAGTGCGCTGGCGAGAGCCCTGTCGGATGTCGGGTTCGGCCGCGACGATATGATTCTGGATGGGGGCTGCCCTCGGCCCTTGGTCGCTGAGAAGGGCGCGGTGTGTGCAGGATGCGCCGACAACTTCTGTGTCGCATCCAAGTGTGCCGAGACAGCCACGTCCCTGGCACGTGCCGTTGCTGACCTTCTCACGGCCCGCGGGCTGCCTGTCTTGGAATTCTCCCCTGCGGTCAGTAAGGGGGTATTCACGGGCTTGGAGATTGACGGAGCCTCTGGGATCATTCGTGTTCGTCCTGACCGCCTCGCTCGCACTCGTCAAGCCGTTCTCGGGCTTTTGAAGCGTGGGCGGGCCTCTGCTGGGGCCCTCAGCGCGCTCGTAGGCCACTGTGCTTGGGGGGTGATCCTGAGGCGCGACGTTCTGAGCATCTTTAACGCGGTCTATCGGTTCATGGGGGCTGTGGGACCTCATCCTGGACCCCTGTGGCCCTCGGTCGTCAGGGAGTTGTCGGCTGCCGTGGCCCTCATCCCGCTCTGGAGTGCCTCTACAAGGTCTCGCTGGTATTCGCGGGTCTATGCTTCTGATGCGTCGCCGTGCGGGAAGGGTGTCTGTGTCAAGGAGGTCTCCCCCACGCTGTCGTCCGAGGTCGGCCGAGTCGCCGAACGCTGGAGATATCGTCATGGGGATGCCGTACTTGCCAGATCACATGCCCTTGGCGTCGACGGTCAAGACGATGCTGCCGACGGTTGCCGTGCCGACACATCGTCTACTGCTTCTACTGCTTCGTCGTCTGGGCCCAGTGGGTTCCTCGAGGTCCCTGAGTCGATCTACGGGGCCGAGGGTTGGAAGACCATGCACTCTAGCCGTCATGCCCGCCGTGGCTGCGATATCCTTCAGTGCGAGGCGGAGGCCCTGGGGTTCAGCGTCCATCATGCCTCGAGGGCCCTGGGTGCTCATCATCATCGCGTCGTCTGTATCGTGGACAATTTGGCTCTAGCTGTCGCTCGGCAAGGGGCGGTCTGGGAGCCGACATCTTCTCCGCGCCCTGCGGCGGATCGCTGGCGTGGCCCTCGCCTGCGGCCTGCGCCTGCTCGTGCGGTGGGTGCCGTCAGAGAGGAATGTCGCGTACAAGCCGTCGAGGGGAGGTTTCTTCGTCGGCCCTAGCTTCGAGGGCGTCGGGTCGTACCTCGTCGCGCGCCGCCCGCGGATCCCCCAAGGAGGTGATCAAGGCTTCGAGGGCCAGGCGGGAACATCCTGGTCCGCTGACGCTCCTGCGGGGCGGACTGTCGGTGCTGGAGGCCAGCGCGGTCTCGGAGTCGACGGGCAAGAACTACCACGCCTCCGCCCTCAGGTTTCTGAACTGGTGCCTCTGGGCCGCCAGGGACTTCAAGAACAGCGTCGAGCTCGACACGATCCTCGTGGTGTTCTTCGTCCACCTCTTCCTCGACGGGTACGACAGTGCGACGGGCCGCGTCGCGATGGCCTCTCTGAAGCACCATCTGCCGTCGATGCTGATGGGCAGCCGCCCGCTGCCACGGGCCTTTCGGGCCCTTCAGGGTTGGACGAAGCTCGTGCCGCCGCAGATGAGGCTGCCGCTGCCGAGGGTCGCGATGTTCGCCATCGTGGACGTGCTGCTGTCTCAGGGGCTTTTGTCGCAGGCGGTCTTCGTGAGGATCGCGTTCGACGCGCACCTCCGCCCCGGCGAGGCCTACCGTCTCACGGCGGCCTCCCTGATCGCGCCGAGGTCGGGCGCCACGGAGGGCAACCAGCACTGGGCTCTGTTGGTGAACGACGCGGCGAGCGGGGGGCCTGGCAAGACGGGGGTCACCGACGAGAGCGTCATCGTCGACGATCCTCTCCTCTGGCCTCTCCTCGAGGCGCTTCGGCAAGGACGCCGCGCGGAGGAGAGCCTCTGGGCCTTCGCGCCGCACCAGCTGCGGCGCGCTTTCGCGGAGGCCCTGGTCCAGGTCGGGATCTCCGACCAGCAGACCTCCCTCTACTCGCTGCGCCACGGGGGGGCCTCCGACGACCTCCTCTCGGGTCGCCGCGCGAGGAAGGAGGTCAAGGACCGCGGCAGGTGGAGGGCGGACCAGTCTCTGAACAGGTACGCCAAGCGGGCGCGCATGCAGCAGCGGCTGGGTCAGCTCGACCCCGCGCTGGCCGACTTCGGGCAGAAGGTCGAGAGCGATCTGCTGGGCCTGATGGACGTGATGGCGAGGACGGGCATCTTCTCGCTGCCGCTGCCGCCCCTCAGGCCGGTGTCGGCGTCGGCGCCGGTGCAGGCGCCTCCCGCGATGACCGACAAGTGGCTCTTCGTGTGAGGCGCCTGTGGCTACGTGCGCGGGCGCGTGCCACAGTGATGCCGTACCTCATCATGCTCTGCACCTGTGTCCCCGACCGAGTTCGGCGAGTGTGCGAGGCCCGCGGGCTCGGCACCGTTGCTGTGAACGTTGCTCGACATCGCCTCGACGACCTCGCTGACCCTCAGGTTCTGAAGTCTCTGACTGGCTGGGTGCGCGCCTCGGCTGTGCTCGGAGTCTGGGCGTCCTTGCCCTGGGGCACCTGGGCGCCCGGGGCGTCGCGTGTCCGCAAGTTTGATTCTCTGCTGCACGTGAATAGAGCCTCAGAGGCCGCCTGTCGCGCCGTGCGAGTGGCAAACGCGTTGGCTGAATCCACCTTCGAATTGATTGCGGAGTGTATCTTCCGCAGAGTCCCGATCATTTTAAGGCACCCTGTGTCGAGCCTCATTTGGAGGCATCCCCGCCTGTCCCCTCTCCTTGCCTCTTCCTCCTCTTCCTGCTCCCTCGACGCGTGCATGTAGGCGGGGCGCGTGAGACAGCGACTCCACCTCGTCGGATGGAGCGTGCGGGATCTTGATTGCCTCGCTCGTCGTTGCCTCTGCGCCCATGGCCTCTGTGATCGCACTCTGCGACGTCACCTGGGAGGCCTGGGACGTCCAGCACTGGGCGCCGTAGCTCGTGCCTCTGCTAAGGGTCTCCCTCGGAAGTGACCATTGCTGGCACTGAAATGATAGTGGCCGAAGCTCGTCATCTGTCCCGCGCCGCGAGATATGAGAAAATGTTTGGTCAATGAGTAATTCGGCTGTGGCCACCTGGGTAGACTAGCGTGTGGTACCGTGTCTGCGCTTCACTGCTGGCGTATCCCTCGAGGCCGCCCTCCGCCGCTTGCACAAAGAAGAAACAATATGGCCCCGAATCGTCCACATACAGCGACTTGTCGGCATTTGTGGCAACACCGCGGCCGTATTCCCTTGCTCAAGTTCTACCCTGGGCCCCCCCACCCACTTGAACTTTTCATGTTTCACCGTGTCTGTGCTTCACTGCTGGCGTATCCCTCGGGGCCGCCCTCCGCCGTTTGCACAAAGAAGAAACAAGATGGCCCCGAATCGTCCACACCATCATCATCAGCATCATCATTATCCTCATCATCATCGTCATCATCATCATCACCATGGCGATCATCTATATCACCATCATCACCATCATCATCGTCATTATCATCATCACCATCATCATCACCAGCATCGTCATCGTCATCATCGTCATCGTCATCGTTATCGTTATCGTCATCGTCATCGTCATCATCGTAATCATCATCATCATCATCATCATCATCATCATCACCATCACATCATCATCATGGTTACCATTACCAGCGAGCACGTTATCGCAGCGAACACCTTATAGCTATACACAGTGTTTTTCCAGATTCATACTCCTCCCATCTTTCCGGGAAGGCCCCGCAAGAGCGAACACCGTATCGTTATATCATGAGACATTCCGTGCGTTTGTACACTCCGAACGATTCCGTTCGCTCCTCCTTCTCATGCTCATCTTTTTTATGTTGCGACCTGCCGGGAACAGTTTCTTGTCCCGTCAAGACCCCGCATCTTGTAATCCCCGCCCTGTGATTTTGAGGGGCATAGGGTTATGGTAGCACGATGACAGCATTGTTCAAGAAGTCATAATGCTACTTTCCAAGGCGTTCTAGATTTGCAGGGTTTCCGCTGGTCCTGCCAAGGCTCCAAAAACGTGGGTCCCTGGATACGTTTCTGGGAAATCCTGGAACGCATCTGAGCCAATCCTATCATGACACCATCCTCGTCCTAGATCCTAGACGACGCCTGTGACCGGCCCCGCCCCCTGCACCCCGCCCTCTCCCGCCCTTCCAGGAGCTTATTTTTAGCCCCCCCCATCCCCATCCCGTCCAGGACAGCCTTGGCCGCGGCACGGTGCTTCAGATACAGCTCCTGAAGCCCGTTCTCTACCCTCCCCTCCCACCCTGGTCACGTCACGATTCCCGCTGGCGCCTGCTTATGGGGAGCAGCCTTTTGGGGGTCAGGGAAAGGCGAGTTCAATTCCTTGGATTCTTCTTATTTTGGGCCACGTTTGTTGCAGGTATTCCCCCAGCAGTGCTTGCACTTAGGGCTTCGTACTTCTGATCGGATGAACTGAACATTTTAGGTTTCGCAAGGATTTCAAAATCGAGTGTCCCGAAACCATATAAACAATCACATGGCTTCGTTACAAGACCTTTCAACAGCTTGTGTTCATGGCTCAAGGCCCTCCGTGCTCAAGGAAATTCTGGCTCAAACTCTGGCGCCTGAGGCCTGTTACCTGTTAGCCCCGAGGCCTGTCACCTTCTAGCTTCCTTGTCTAGGGCTCTCGGCACGCGCGCTGCATGAGAGGACGCGTGAGTCGGAAGGACGGGGAAGCAACGGGGAGAAGCCGAAGGTCGATGCGTCCTGGAGGATCAAGGAGATGTTTGAAAACTTGACTTTGAATGTCGACCGCCTGACCACGAAGGTGGACTTCAGCATCGCGACCGCTCAGGAGGCGAAGGCCGAAACCGCGGCCGCTAAACAGTCCGCGACTGAAGCCAAACTCCATACGGCTCAGCTGGAGGAGAAAATTGATGTCACGACCAGAAGGCTCGACAACACCACGAATCATATTGAAGCTGGATCTAAGTCCTGTCCTAGACCGCGAAGCACTTCTCGTACAGACAAAAGCACCATCAAACAGGGGAAGGAGGATTCGGGAGAAGGACGACGATGACGAGGTGCGTGCACTTCAGGTCATCGCACTGTGGTCCAAAGAGCGCGTCGAGGCCAGCAGGGCCATTGCCGACATCGAATGCATGGTGAAACCAATTTGAGGTGAACGGCGCGGGAGTAAGATCGAAGCAGGTACAGACCCGTGCAGGTTCGGAGTGGTCCTTTTCCCGATCGAGAGGACCAGAAAAAGACGTTCCACAAGACGGTGTGGGACACACTGGCCATGCAAGAACGCGCTTTGGGGAACACGTATTTCCAGGACAAACTCACGACAGACGAAAAAGGTCGGGATAAGCAGTTGGGGTATTGTCAACACTTTCTTGTCAAACATCACAGTTGCAATAACAAGATACTCGGTATTATTTGGCAGAAGATAGTGGTGGAAGTGAAGGGGAGGGTGGAACTGTCCGTAAAGAAGAAAGTGGTGTGGTATGGCGAGGCTGGTACTTGGCGCATTTCCTCAACGTTGCATTCCGCGGATAATTGAGGCGGGGGAAGCCGCGGCCAAGTGGTGATCACGGGTTGGCCCGGAGCTGGGCACGGACAGCGAATGACTTACGACGGCCGCACGGCAAGTGCCTCGCAAAGACGACGTTTTGGCGAGGAACGGTGCCATCAGCAGTGCGATCCCTGCAAGGTCGATTTTGGGGCAAGCGGGGAGTGGGGGGGAAGAGGAGGCACAGGAACATATCCATATGTTTTTGGAGACATGCCTTTCGGCGTATCTGCGATTCCAGCTGACGCGCGTCGCGATCTCCGCTGGGGCCCGGCGCGCCAAGGCAATCCAGTAGCAGCGCAGAAAACCGAGCAGGATACATACTTTTCATTTTTACAGCAACGTTAGAGGGCTGACGGTAACCGACCAGAGTGCAGAGATTATCGCTGAGCTTGGCAATGCAAGGTGGGATTTCTTTACAAACGACGGGACTGTGCGTGCGAAGCAGAGCGAGTATTGGATGACGGAGCAAGGGTGCGTATTCATGGCAAGTGGGAATCTGAAGCCAATCCGTGGAGTGGCCTTTTTTGGCGCGCGAAAAAGGTGGCAACACATGGAAACATTTTTTATTACCCTTGTCAACCAGCGGGTCTCATATGCCGACGTCTCCGAGAAAACGTGTTCATCTTGTCCAAGCGCGTTGCAGAGTATTTTCCCAGCTCTGGCTATGCAGGCGCACGCGCGCAGCAGCTTTGCGACGTCTTATCCACATTGTGCAGCGAGGCTGTTCTAAACGACGTGTACTTCGTCGTCGGTGCCGACGTCAGCGCGCAAGCTGGCGAGGCTGACGCTACTTCGCAAATCGCTGGTCGCTGCGTTTTCGGCGTGGGGATGCCCGGGGGCGGCGGCCGGAGCGCGGGGCTTCTGCGGGGCGGTTGATATCGGCAAGTGCACTTTGCCGGAACATCCTTATAAAGGGGGGGCTGCGCTGGTGGGTCTGGGGCTGCGCCCGCAGAAGATTCTGATTTTACGCGACGTTCATTGCGGTGGCGGGCGCTCCCATATAGCAGACTTCGCGCGCGTTGCCGGGGCGAATATGAGCATCTTGAACGCGGAAGGTTCCGCGCCGCCCGAGCCGCCGGCTTGCGTTGAAGTGCCCGCTGGCAAGTGTCCAGGGGTCAGCGCCGCCGCGGCTGCGTCGGTCGCGCCGCTTTAGCTGGCCGGCGAGCGAGCATTCGCGGGCTTGCGCGGCGCCGTGCGCTCGTCGCAATCGCCGCCCGCCGCGCGCGTCTTCCAACGCAAGTTTCGGGTGGGCCCGGGGGGCGATTGCGCGGGCGGTGGAGTTGACCGCCGCGAGCTTCACAGAAGGATCTTCGTTTCTAGAATTACGCTCTACACCCCGGGCTTGCCCGTTCCTTCTGTCGTATTGCATTTTGATATGATTATGCCCCATCGTCCCTTCAAAATCTATGCATTCCCGGCCGAGCCAGCCCCTTCCCCCGCCATCCTCTGCAACAGAAATTATGCGCGCGCATTCGTCTATCGCAAATCACTCACCAGCTTTCAGAATCCCTTGCAACAGATGACGCAGCGCGCGCGTTGTCGCGCGCGTTCCGAAGTCGCCCAAAAACTCGCAGCTTCGCACGGATGCCCCCCCCCCCCCGCGCCCCCCGGATTTAGCGGGTCACTTCTAGATGGGTGTGTATATTTGTATGTATGTATGTATGTATGTATGTATGTATGTATGTATATGTATACAAATATACACATAATATCAAGCACAACATGTATTCGCTCGGATTTCAACA